GAGAGAGAGAGAGAGTAAAAGAGATGAAGTGAAAGGCCTCTCTCTGACCTGGTGTGCGGCGGAGGGAGGAGAAGTGAGGCGGGAGGCGGGGCGAGTATGAGAGACCAGCAGAACGGGATGGCAATCAAGGCATTCCTCGGCAGCTAGCCCACCCCGCCCGCCCCGCCCCGCCGCGTATTGCGGGTGAGATGGGACCGAATGGGGCTCGGCCCGGCCCTGCTGGCAGGCCACAGGGGGGGCCCGCGCGGGGGCAGCATTCAGCGGCGCATCACATCGGCCGCCCCGCCCCGCCCCGCCCGGCCTTGGCAGGGGCACTAACGCGCATCTCCAGGGGAGCGCGGCAGAGGCAGCACAGTATGGAATGTTTTGCTTATAGTTAGTGACGGAGGGCTGAGCCGGCGAGCAACGCGCTCGCGGCAGCCGTGCACTCACAGGGAATGAGATTTTCTGACACCCAGAAAGCAAAATGATGTATTCGGTGTTTCTCTTATTTACTTTATGATATCATGTGACATTAAGGCCGGGTGAACACCCTGTTACACCCAGCAAAAAGTGTTCTCAATTCAAGATGATCCCCAAAATTTTAAGGCAAATGTTCTTATTTTAATCCCTATTTACACTTAAATTAAGTAAAAACAGGGATTAAATTAATCCCTATTTGCCTTAAAATTTTGGGTATCACCTTGAATTGAGAACACTTTTTTTTTGGGGTGTAGACGACCAAACAAGGCGATTGTCTTACACATTGCAGGGTGCGAAGTGTAGATTTAAGTGTTTCACACCTCGTCTCTGTCTATTCACAATCATAAAGGCTGGCACTCACCTGACACTGTCGAACAGGACGAGCCCAACCCCTGCAGGGCCCGGGCCAGGAATAGAACGCTGTAGCTCCGTCCAAATGCAAAAACTGCGAGGGGGAAAAACACAATTTTAATTTTGACCTCGTGCTTAAAAAATATCATCATCAATAATTTGACACACACGAAAACATTTACAGTTTTGCTTTCCCATTGCGCACTTACTTAATGTAGACAAAAACATGATGATGAATCCGGCGAACATGGGTACGCTGTAACCAATCCTGCAAATACGCACAACAAAAGTGGTAAGTAATTGGCGAGTTAACTCCATCAAGTGAGTTGTGTGATCACGATCCCGTACTTGTGTGTGAGCGGCCCCACGAAGGGGTTGGCGAGCAGCTGGACGAAGGCTTTGGACGCGAACATCATGCCGACGGGGACGGTCTCCTCCACCAGGTCCTTGTGTCGCAGCTTCTTGAGCGCCTCCTCGGGGGACATGGTGGTGAAGTTGAAGATGAACTTGGCAGCGGCGCCTGCCCCCAACAAAACACAGTCAGTCGCGGCACCAACGAGAAAATAATGGACGCTAGCAAATGAACTTTACTAGAGTTCAAGTTCATGTATTTGTGATGAGTTCATCATCGATGTTCAATATCCTGTAGTCGAACTCTAGCCGATGTCCGGCCCAAGCTACCCAAAAGTTACCGGAGCTTCACTCACCCTGGGTGGGTTGTGCGATGAACTCGAGGTCTTGTCCGTCCGAGGAGTTGTCCGGAGGCCGGCCCTGTGGCTGGCACGGCGGCAGCGGCGCAGGTGTGGCTGCGGTGGGCTGCGCGGCAGCTGCGGCCGCTGCAGCTGCCGCCGCCGCCGCTGCAGCCGCGGCAGCCTGCTCGGCCGCCAGCTCGGCCGCCAACACTGTCTCATTAGGGTGCCTGATGTCGTACAGGAACTCGGGTATGATGGGCACTGTGCGGATGCAAAATGTATACAATTCAGTTTCAATTTGAACTCTCAGAGTTATTTTCTGTTTTTCCTCAGTGTTAATGGCTTGAAATGCAATGAAACTGTCCAACTGGGAAGTCCTTGGCCTTGCTGGCCTTCCTCTCTACGTATATACTATCTCTCTCTTTTACTCACACACACACACTCAAACACACGTACTCTTTCACACACCCTCTACCCGCTCTCTCTCCTCC